AAGCAGTGGCGTTATTTCGTCTTTTGACTGGGCACGATTGTCTGAACCCCCATCTTTTTAAAATTCGACTTCAGGGCCCTTCAGTCTGTACTCTTTGTAACTCTGAACAGTCCTTGGATAAGAAACATATTGACGAACGCACTATTATCTTTTAATTCTATTGTTCATGAGTACTGGGAAGCAAGATCAATACTAATCGCTTAGTGACAAAGTGTCTGGCATTTGTGTAAATAAATGCTTTACGCCAATAAAGCAGGTTTAACAAATTTGAGGCCTTCTTCGCTTGATAATAGCTTTATAGTATATATAGACAAAGTAATGATTGAATTAAACCTCGTCAATTAAAGGTAATAAATTTTGCATGAAATCTTATGAATAACGAATAATTATTTCTAATTATAAAATGTTGTTAAGATGCACTCTAAATTACAATGAAAAAGCATATCAGATAAAATAATAAAGATATGGTAACAGAATTTAATTTGTGGAACAAAATATGTACAGTTTATCAAAAGAAAAAATTTCAAAAACGATGAATTAATGCTAAACAACCTCATAAAAATATTGAATTTTTGTTCCAGATTTTAGTTAATTCCTCTAGGAGTCTGCTGCCTGTTTTCAAATTAAATATATTTTACCAGCAATGAAGTCATGACAACGTTTAACTAAATTTAATTAACTAATAGAGATATGTTTCACATACTTTTTGTATCAAATAAATATTACGCAGAACGAAAAGTCCAATCCGTTTCCTTAGGATCAATTTTTTACTTTCATATCCTATTTCATGTTGAATTTAACATGTTTTATGTGTTCGGGTAAAACAACGGGATGTAAAAAAAGAACTTTTGAGAACAATTTAATATCTATTGTCTTAGGTTTGAAAACTGACAATGAAATTATCTGAAGCGATCATATCACTCGTGTAATTGATTCTTTCGTTCGACTTCCAAAAACTAATTTGATATTAATATTTTTGGTTTTTCAATATTCATTCGCTTCCAAGAGGGAATACGTGTTAATTTTCTTGCATGTGTCGTATTTGGTTTTATCCCTCACATTTATTGAAATTTTCTTATTAATTTCTCAGATGCTAAGCTAATCAATGAGGATAAATTATCTTTATGTTCTTATTACTGATATCTAAACATATAATAAGAAAGTTCATAGTAAAATAAACGTGTATATTTTTTGCCTGTAATATAAAAATCCAGTCTTCTGTATTATTCTCTACATTTGTGTCCTATTGCTGTAATTCTGAATTCATTATACAGAGTGCGTCTACCGCGTTTTAAGTTCTTACAAAATATAAAGTTAAAGAAAATATGTTTAGTTCTAAGCCTTTAATACACTATAGAGTCTCACCTTCTTTGGAAACATAAACTAGATGAGAACTCAAGAAGATATAAGCGCCTTTTCGCTATGTCTTGGAAATTATAACAGAGATTTGGAAAAGGATGTAAAAGATCCTTTTATTAAAAAAAGAACAGCTTGTACTTACGGAACCAGCACATTTATGGCGTGAATCAAAAATAAAGAATTGATCTAAGTAAAACGTAAGTTACACCAAAAGCTGCACAGACAAAAATGCACGCAAGTTGGTTCCAGCCATGGATGGAACAAGTCTAACGGCGAGAATTTCGCCAATCTTGCAGATAAACTGCTATCAAGATAATCAAATAACGTGGCTTTCAGCAGGCGGAACACGCTCTGGTTCTACAATTCGATTTATTACCTTCCTTTAAATACTACCCCCTTCTACTTTATTTGAATACTCTCCAAATACGAATTAAAATTTTGGCAGGAAAACGGAAGGCGATAAGGATAGTAAAGATCGTTAACATAAAATAATTGGTTAATAAAAATAAATGAATGCCCTACAATACAGTCCTTACAAGTCTAAGGAACGTTAGGCACGTTCTCACAGCTGGGCTTGATTTCTTCGTAGAACTCATCCTTTGGAATAGAATTTAAGTATTTGGTTCCGGTTCTCTTAATTTTTTGCAATGCTATTAAAATAAGCCCCTTCGAAGTGGTAAAAATGCCTTCAGGCGTCAGAATCTTACGAATAAAGGGAATAATAATTGTGATACTTTATTTTGTTATAAAATATCCAAAGAAAATAGAAATATGTGACTTCACATTGTCGAGCAGCAGAATCCATTCATTTGATTGAGATTTTTCATTTCTAACGAACTAAATTCTCTTTAGAAGTCTGCTTATTATATTTTTTATAAAATATGAAGGTCACTGCCTTTCCCTCACGAAAATATTCATCGTGAGGTATCTCTTTCCAATCAAAACCGATCACCAAAATGATCTTTATTCGATATTCCTGAAACCCAACTTTGTGTATCCTTGGTAAAAATTCTGCAACCTAAGCATATGACTGCCTTCTCTTTTTGAAGGACCATAAGTAAAACATCGGATTTCACGTCCAATTGAAATTTGTTTGAAATCAAAATCAAAATTATTGCCTACTACTTGGATTAAATCATGGAATAAGGCATTTTACGTTAGAATTCATAAAAAGATATAGTCACTTGATCAAAGCAAATGATTAATTGCAAAGACATTTACATCCAATAAAGAATTTTCGCATTGTAGTTGTCCGATCTGAAGTATGTCGTTAGAACGTCTAACTAGGATTTGAAAACTCTGTGGTCCCGATCCGAGAGAAGACGCACTCGAATTCCCATGTTTTCTCCCCTCAGAAAATCTAACAAATCTCTAGTGTTTGTTAAACTAAAATGTCTTGGGCGATAACTCGTCATCACCTAGGTTTGGTCAACTGTTCCCTGAAACTCAGTGGAGAAAATGCATGAAGTCCCCTTAACTGACATGTAAGAAGTAATTTCCGTTTAACATTAGTTGTAATTCTTTGGAGAGGTATTGCGTATTTAGCTCTAAATTACGTTGTATAATCTAGCCCTTAAGCTTATATTTGTTGTGTTTGACTAGTCTTGAGATGTGTTGTATGAGCTATAATCACTATGAAACGTAAACATCATATAAAGAAAACAACATATGTTAGGTAAGAATAATTTACAGCTTTATCGGTACTTATGTTTTTTTTTTATTACAACAGCTGTATATGAAGTCGCGATACTCAAAGAAATCATTGAATTAACAGCCATTCAATAGGAATTCTCCCTCTGCCACATCTCTAACAAACAATGGGCAGGAGAAAAATTTTTCATATGTACAAGACATTTCTATTTGCCCACAAATAGTAGAGGATGCTGTTTAGTTTAGATCTTATTTTCTGTACCATCCATTAGTAGAAAAGCACCACTCCAGAGAATTTCAGGAATATGCAATACATAGCATTTAATGCAATTCCTGTATATCTTCCATCATCAATTTCATGATGGTAAAGTCTAAGATGTATTTCATTGGTCCCCTTAACTGACATTTTCCACGCCACTTTAATCATTGTGGAGATTAGCAGTGCAATAACGTAAGCAGTGTATCGTAACAGCCCCAAAACTGGAAATACTAAATTATAGGCGTCTCTACCTTCATTTTAGCAGAAACATTTCAAATTTCGAGCATTGCTACCCTACACAACGCTACGTTGCTATTTTATTTATCATCCGAGCAACTTAGCATTTTTTGTCTCCTCTCGAAACAAAAAATTTGTAATTTATTTAAAATACAAAGTAACATATATCTTTAATTAAGTAATATATATAATTTTTATAATTGTTTTAAATCATAATTTCTTAATGAACTGAGAGGATTGACAGTAATAATAACACATCTCAACAACATAAATCTTCATTAGCCCCAAAGTCTGAAAATACGAATTTTGTGTTAAATCCCTTTAAATGTCTGAATCGCTTTTCAGATTGTTGCCACCAAATATTATCGGACCGTATTTGTATGTACTAAAAAAAACTAAGTATGAGAACTACATGAATGTACCTACGTTTCTCGCCTTGTGAACAAACAACGGTACTTAGAGTCATCAAATTTTGAACAACATAATCCTTCACCAGACCTGGGGCATCTGAAGCCCGCCTTTTTGAATTTCGTTTCGTATTTTTTTTATATCTGTTTCGTGTATAACTTTAACGAATTTTTGATTAAAAATCTTTAACAATTTAGAAACAACAGTGGCAACTTGTAGGAAAAAAACATTTTATCTCCAGCCCGGCGATATATTCTAAAATATCCTTTAATTTCTAATAGATTAAACTGGCAAAACTTTAAAGCAAACCTCCCTCAAACAAAAAAAGTGTAAGTGGAAAAAGTGCGCTCGTTTGGGTGGGATATAAAATCTGAAACCTTTCACATTTTTGTTTATTTAATTTTTAATTATATATGTAATTTATCTAATTTAAGACACAGATATAATTTTAATATGGGCAACTGATAGCAATGAACATTTTGAGCATTTTTGTAAAGAATAAAAGATATTTCCAATGCTGTATGATAAGTACATCGCTTCAGATTCCTCCTGTTGGAGAATGATTTCCTCAAAACTGTGTATCCTAATTTAAGAAACTTAAATCTATCATCATGAAAGCAAGGCTTTTCATAAACATCCTTCGAAAATCAAAACGGCAGTCAAAGTTCGAAAATTCACAGAATTCATAAAGGCATACCAGTGGAGAAATTGCTTCAGATATTAAGCTATATGTGTGAAATCAGAGTTACAAGTCATCCTCTATCCTTTCACAACAAGCATTAATATATAGAAAGTAAAAATTTATGATTCTTAGTACTAAGACTGTAAAAAACAGTTTTCCTGTTAATAAAACAATTTCAGATTAGTTTCAACTCTAAATTCTGTAATCATTTCGCTATCGACATTAAACGTTTCGTGAGAAGGGATTGCGAGGGACAGTGTGATAAGCTGACATATTTAGTTCAATGCGTGCTGTCGGAAATGCTCATCCCCCATTTAATAAAAACACTGAACTCGAAAATAGTAGCGTGATGGTTTTTGACACGATTAAATGTTTTGCTCTATTTTGTTGGTGTGTCTTGACATTTGAAAGTGACAAGGGAAACTCATCCGTTGACAACTTTCATTTGTTGCGATAGTGTTCATGAATTGTCCCATAGTCGAAGTGTAGGCGGTTTATATCGTAATCTGATTTTAAAGCGAGCATAAAGAGCAAGGTTAGTACTCCAAAGCAATAAAAGTTGAACCTGCCACTGGGAAGATGTCAGAACCTTACTATACACTGAACTTTCCATACTACAGGTGAGTGAAAAAATATTTATGTAAAAATCTAATTTTTTTCACTGTTAAATATACTGTTATATTTGTAGGAATAAAAGATAGTCATAGACTCGTAGATATCTGCGGTCAAGATATTTTGAACTGAATTGAATATAAAATTATATTTCTCGAGGTTTCTGGTTGGTAAGAGGTAATTGAGAATTTTTTCTGGCCTTTTTGCCGCCAAAGTTTTTAAATTCTTCTTAGGACTGGATAAATTTTTCAAATTTTCTAAAATTTTCTTAAGCTGTATATTCTAAAACTTGTCTTGATGTCCAATAAATATGGTTCCTTCGACCTTCTTAGCAAAGCTTTCTTTGCGGAGCATAAAAAAGGATAAAAAAGCTTTATTTTTTAATTCAGGAGCAATGTAAAATAAATGCAGCACATCAAATGGTTTAAAATTTGCCTGTTGGATTAGTTTTAAAATCATTCGTCAAACTGAATCCATTATATTATATTTAGTGAAACTGAATCCATATATATTATAAGCGATCAAAATAAAAATTCATATTTCAAATATCTATTTTGAAAATTCATCTTGAGCACAGCTGCGGTTTTTATGTGCTTTGACATAACTCTGAACGGCACAGTGAGTTCTGGATCATTTAGGTCTTCTTTAGAAGTAGTCACCTTGTGAGGATTTATTTATTATTATTAATTTAAAATTATGTTTGATAAATAGTTAATTTTGTGTTAAAGTAATATTCTCTCTCTCTCTCTCTCCTTTTCGCCCACGCTTTTCATGCCAAAATGTTAATGAAATAGCGAACGTTTATTCAGCTTGAGAGAGAAAAAAGTGCTATTTAAACGAAGATTTCGCAAGTTGACTTTAGAGTGTGTTCTGTTACAGTGACCAAATAGCGATTTGATTCTGTGGCATTGAGTGCTTTTAGCACCAGAGCCTTCCTACGAGTTACTTTATTTTGTGAGCGGTTAGGCTAAATCTAACTACATTAAATATTTAGTTCAGCATTACTTATTCAAGTTAAGCCAGAAGCGTTGGCTTATGCACGCCCGAGTGGAGATTGCCTGTGAATAAAAGTGTCTTGTGCACCCTTCTTTTGACTTTTGTGTGTCTACTGTTTAAGGCGAGAGGATTATTCCTCTATAGTCTTTCTCGAGTTCATGAATTTATCATACCAAAGAGAGAGAGACTCTATAACCTTAAAGAAGTGATGTTTAGTATTGATGCTTGTTTATATTTTAAGAAATAATAGTCACTTCAGAGGTTATCGCTAACAAGAGCTTTTTGTTTTATCCGTGAGAGATTTTTCTGTGCATAAATAAAAATAATCTTAATTAATATTCATATTCTTCTTAGTATTTAAATCATAGCATGAATTATTTTAATGAAGCAGCATAATTAACGGCTTCTTTCTCAGCGTTTTTGATTTGCTTAACTAACTACTTAATTGTGCACTATTAAAGTATGCAAAAAGCAAAATAATGACTTTTTGTCTCATCGTTAAATACTTTTTACTAACATATCTCTATTCAATATCCAATTAGACATCTAAATCCTTTCCATGCGATTGTACCGTGTCAAAACAATCATATGACGTTTCATAGCGTATTTTACTTCCTTGTGAGAAGTAAAGAAATATGGTAATCGCAAAAAATTTCGAGTATCATATTTCATTGAAAATATCCATTTTCGGCACTCTCAAATCCATTTAAACGGTGTTCTTATGGCATATCTGTACGTACGGACAAAGTAAACGACATTTTTTTTTTCCAAAACGGATTGTAAAATGGATTTAAAATGGAATCAAAAGGAATTTTTTTCATGACATCTGTACCCACGTACGTATATATGTATTTCACATAACTCAAACGCAATTAGTTGTAGAACATTGAAAGTTTGTATATAAGTTTGCTATAACAATTAATTGTTGGCCTCCTTTTTTGGCTACAATACGCAGCACAAAACGTATCGGTGAGCTCTTATTTTTTATTATTTTATTTTGGTAAATTGTGCATTTTTCCCTTTAAAAGTGGTTGAATTATGTTGTTCTTATGTTTCGGTTAAGGTTTTTAAGCCTTTAGTTAATCTGCATGCAATAGTTGTAGAATTATCGATTTCACGTATAAGTAGTGCTAAGCCTCACGAGGCCGCCATTTGTTTACATTTTCAAATTGTAGTAGAATAGTCAATTAAGTCATTTGGTGCACCAACTTCAAAGTTTTTTTGCGTAGTGTTAGCAAGCTGCAAGTTAAATTTCAATTTGGTGCACCCAAACGTACTTTGTCTTTAAGCCCGTTGACGTGATTGCTTGTTTTACGTAGAAACTCTAATTTTAATTGTAAAAGTTCGTTTTCTTTAACTGTTTTTAACTGTATTTGGTTTTCTAGGTTTCTGTTTTGTATTTCACAGTTTTTAATGCACATACTTTGAAAATTTTAATTATTTTTGCATTGGCACGACGTGAGAATTGAATTGTTTAAATGAGAATTACATCTCTAATTAAATTCGAGGAAATACGTTTAAATAAACATAAAAAATATGTATAATTTAATATGCCTCACCTCATATCTGATGTGCACAGGAGTGTACACATCAGATATTTTTTACAATAATAACCACTATGTAATGAGCCGCAAAATAATTTCGTTACCGTTAACAATTCCCATAATAGAGATATTAAATGCATTGCAAGCTTTCTATATGCCCTCCATTAACAACAGTTATATTTCGAAGCTCTAATTAATAGTGAGGCATTTTGCGAATAGTGATTGAAATTAATGCTAGTACATTGCGCAAAGAAATGGGGGACAGTTCTATGTCTCCCGTTCTACTGGGCCGATCGACGAAATTTAACTTGCGTTTTTCATGTATCGAAAGCTTGACTTAGGATAAGTAATTAAATTTATACATAGCATTACAGGTACTTTGACACAAAATAGTACTTTTTCTGAAATGGCATGCCAAATATTTACCATATTTTCGATTGTACAACTCAAACTATGCCAAACTGCCACGTTTTGTAAAATTCGCACGAGTAGTTTTTTAAAAATTAGCTCTCAAAATTTTATCTCCTCCATGTTAATTGATTTATATATATATTTATTAATCTCTCTTTTTTATTAAACTTATTTGATTTTTCTTTTCGCATCTCGAAATTTAGGTTCATTCCAAATGAAATTCTTCCATTTTTTATGATTTATTTTGTAAATTTGTATTTTTAAATAATTTTTATAAGTTTTTCGAAAACAATTTTGAAATATAATCTACAAAATTTTTACCATCGTCTTAAATCAGATGTATTTCTAAGCATACCTGCAAAAAATTAGAGTTTTTCATTCAAAATTTCCGAAGATATACGTGAATTTATATATTCGCGCGTTTTGAAATTTTGCATATTTATTGAAAAAGGTAATCACATCAGTCGTGTTTTAGGTATTTTGTTAAAACTATTTGAAAGTAGGAACAAAGTACCTTTTTCCCCGCTCATGCACAACGTAAAAAGGGAAAGGAAAGTAGGTTGCCATATATTAAGAAGTTCGCTAAGTGAATTATTCTCGGCAGAAACTGAAAAAAAAAAAAAGTGTCAAGATAAATTTTTGAATTTCTCCGTAAATTTCGCACCAAATTTTATAAAATTTAACATTTAGACATAATCTGAGTCGTAGAAAATAGAATCGTATAGAATCGAAATATGGAAACAAACTGGCATGTCATTTCAGAGAAAATCCGATTTTGCGCCAAAATTCCTACATTAGAACAATGCTATATATAAATCTAATACATATCCTAAGTCGCGCTTTCGAGACAATTTGAATTTCGTCAATCGGCGCAGTAGTACGGGAGATATAGAACTGTCCCACTTTTATTTATTTATTTATTTATTTTTTCAGTGTACATCTATTTCATTGTGTATTTCTTTTCTTTAAGTGGGCAAGATTTTTAATCTTTTTAATATAAATGAACTGAAAACGACGTTTCGAAATTAATCGCCCTTCAGGGCTTACTCCCAATTCGAAAAAAAAAAACTTTAAAAAGTAATTTATACGAAGTGCAGATTTTTGACGTTTTGTATTTTGTCTATGATAAAAAAATTTTAATCTGAATAAAATCATCAACTCTGCAGTTTTCTTAAAATGAGTAGGAGATTATTAAGGTAAACAAATTTGCTTTATTGGAAGATGGAAAGAAAAGCTTAATGAAACTTTTGTTTTAAAGGAATGAAAGAAAATTATTATTTAAAAATTATAATACGTAGTATTATAATATTTAAATATAATAAAACCAAACATAATACGTAGTATATTACATTTTAATCTTATTATTGTATGAAAACAACTACATTCTAATTAATCATCCAACATTTTGTTAATTTCCTAAAATCTAAAGGAAAGGAAATAAATATTAACACTCATTATTAAAGCAAACGTAATAAAATAATGCAGATTATTTAGATGATCAATCATTGATCTGATCCTCTATTTTACAGCGTGTGGACGTTAGCTAAGTAAAGAATTTATTAAGTAGCCAAGGAAAGTGGAGACTTTCAATGTGATCACATGATCTTCACAGATCTTTTTGCTTATTTCCTGCCAGTTAGAGCAAGTACTACACGAGAATGATCTTAACTTCGGAAGAAAGAAAAGGAAGAAGCCATTAAAGAAAAAGCAGACGATTAAAGGCGACCCTTGTGTTTTAATTCTACCCACTTAACATTAGAAATATTTTAAGTTTATATTGTTTCTGAAAGTATTCTTTACCCCTTTTTAAAACAATCAGGATTTCTTGGAAGCACTTCTTAGAAAGATAATTGTTCTAATTTACGGAATTTTGTAAAAAGAGCTACTTATTAAGTCAAAACTAAATTAACATGAAAAGCTATTACAAGTAGTTACTTACTAACATTTCCTATTAGAGGCCGTTAAGTTTAATTACAGCAGTTTTTCAACAATGCTGCATATAAATAGAAAGAATATGCTTGAGAAAAGAGCTTCACTGAATGTTAAAGTTTGAAAAT